GCGAAGGTCTTGGGAGGGCTGCTCTGGAGCAAGGCGGGGGATGCTTCTGGAAGAGAAGGAGGGAGGAGGACAAGAGAGGGCGACAGAAAGGGAATTTGATCACGCACTTGATTATTCTGCTCATTGAATACAGGATATGATCAACCGCTAGGCTGGTTTCAAAGGCATCTTCCTCAATGTGTTGACAGAATAAAATCTAATATTTTCCTAACATGTCTCATTTGTGGAAATTCTTCCTTTCATCCCCAAAACAGTCCTCAGAGTTGTCTCTTCCCCCCTCCCCCCATCTTATCCTAGGCACGAATGAGATAGGTAGGAGTGAGATAAGAATTGCAGATCCATATACCAACTAAGCTAGTAAATATATTGTCTTGGGTTAAAATAAATTCTTTTCTTAAAAAATAAAAACTGGCTCCCTGAGGCTGGAGGGCCAAAACGCAGACGCCCAGCAGCGCGCGCTCAGCTGAGCTGCGCCAGAGAACTGTGCGCTCCCGGCGCCTGAACGGCTCAAGTTCATCCTGAGGGTGGGGTGAGCCTGGAGACTTTTCTTCCCCGGAATCCGCCAAACCTAAGTCTCCCGTGAGGCCTCCGGGATAGCGCGCACCCGTGTGCGCGGTGTGTGCGTGGGTACCCGCCGCGTCCAGGAAACTGAGGCGAGAAGGACTTCGCACCTGGCCGGGCCCTCAGCGTTTTGCGCTCACTTACCGTTCCTGGGCGCCGAGGAGAGAATGGCGTTCACTCCAAACTTCAGAAACGTAGGCTCGCTGGCAGGGGAGACGGCAGTCTGCGGCGATCCGCCCCGCCGGCTGCCCGGACTAGGGGAGCCCAGGTCCGAGGCCACGGTGTCTGTGAGATTCGCGGGGGTCCCTTGCCTGGGGGGCGACATGCTGGCCGTGGGCACGCTGCGGGGCAGGTAGGCAGGGGGTCGGCTGATGCGGATCAGATCCTCGACCAGGAAGCTGGAGTGTCCGGAAAATGCCGACTGCAGAGACTGCGGCAGCGTTAAGGTGGGTGTGGGGCGCAGGAGGCTGGGGTACCCGGCGGGGGGCGCGAGGAGCCCAGGGAACATCATGTTAGGCGCGAGGCGGGCGTAATAACCCTTCTTCCACTGGCGGAAGGGTAAATGCCTCGCTTCCCGCCCCTCCCGCCCCCGCGGTACCCTCTCTCTTGGGCTTAGCAAAAGTCTCCAAATAACGAACGCTGCCACTTGGGCGCCTGCGAGTCCTCCGTGGTCCTCCCGTCGAGGTGATGGTTTTATAGGGGTCCGCCCGTTAAAGCGCTTTGAAAAGTGACAGCTCTGACAATGAAGTTCAACAAAGTTCTCCACTCGAGCTTCATTCGCCAGAGGCTCTGGGCGCTCTGATTGGCGCAGGGGTGCAATTTATGATTGGATTAGTCTTCATAAGCATCGCCCGCACAATGGGCCGGCAACAAAGGCCGGCGCGCATCAATTCTGCACATCGACCGCCTCTTTGCAAGACAGCGCATCCCCAAAGCTCTGGCCGGGAGTTTTTGTTCCGAAGCAACGCTGGGCTAATTAAATGCCTATTTAGGAGTTTCAGATGACATCTTGCCTCATAGAAAAGGAATTATTTAAAGGACGCACTAAATTTATTTGCAGCTCCCCTGCTGAGCCTAGAAAATAAATCAATAAATATTCATAGAAATTCACCTCCAGGCAATCAGTAAAATAATCCTCCCTCTTTGGGGAGGGGGAGGGGGCAACGGAAAATTTCAAGTCAATGAACATGAACATGTACTCCCTCTTCCGTCTCTAGTCCTAAACGTTACTGCAGCTGAGGCACAAAACAGATGTGAGAGGTGGGTTGAGTCAATGTGTGGAGGGGGTGCCACTCTAACAAGGGGGGGTGTTGAAATGGATGCTTAGGGGCTACTGGCTGCTAGGAGTGGAGAGGAGAGGTCTTGATTTGAGTTATTTCATTATGCGAAACTCGCTGCGTTTGAGCACGTTGGTCGGTACCTGAGCGGTCAAAAAAGTCTCCTTAGGTAAACTCCCAGCAACTTGAAAAACGATTTTCAGCCACTTTTCTCTAGGGGTGTCACCAACCAGCTCGCCTGGGGTTGGGGCAGAAGGGAGCACCTCTCCGCGAAAGGTTTCCGCTTGCACAGGGCTTCCCGGGCCAGAAGCTCCCTAACCCAGGGCGGCCGGAGTACAGCCAGGGCTACGCAGGCGGTTCTACAACCGCAAGGAGCCTTGCGCAGTTTCCGTTGAAATTCACTTACAGCCTGAACTTTAAAGCCACAGTAGTGAAGATAGGGAGTTGCCTACCTACTCGTGTAAGGGCGCTTAACTTGGTCAAAGTTTTGCAGCTTCTTAACTAACTGCCGTGTACAAACGTCCGAAAACAGAGCGAAGGCCGCGCTTCCCAAGAATGTCGGTCCACATCAGGAAAGCCCATCCTTGATTCGGGCCTCAGACAAGACTGTTCCTGCAGACAGACCTTCCCTGTCCTCGGAGGGGGCGCTGAGCCTGGATCCCCCGGTTTCTCTGCTCTGCGAGATAACAGATGCGTTAAACGTCCCATTCATTTCTGTAGCGAGGCTGACCCTCCCCCAAGAGAAGTGTGCAGCCTCGCCAGGCCTCCCTGATCCTATTAACCATGAACTAACTGTCACCTTCAGCTGGTTTTCCTTTTTGCTTTTTAACACAAAGCTTTCTCAAAAATCTTATTAACCAGCTTTATTTCTCCGGATGGTTTTGTTCGAGGCATTCTTTTCTTGTTGATGATCTCCATGTCGCTGCTTTAACCATTCAATAAAAGTGCATCTGCGATTTATATCACATTAAGCCAGAAACGGAGCCCGCTGAAGGTCTCCCTTGATTCAAATTAAAAAGTTATTGAGGGGCGGGCTCTGGAGCCGAATGAATCAGGACTCGAAAGCGGTGCCAGGGCGGAGTGTCTGCGCCCCTGGCTGCGCGTGGACGCGTCCTGGGCGGCGGGAACACCGAGGGCAAGGAACGACTTTTAAATAAGTGACTATTTAAATACGGAAAGTATATGGCTCCAGTTCATTGGAGACCCCGGAACAGGGAGGCCTATGAAGAACTCTAAAAGTTATCTTTTTTTGAAGTTTTCCAGTAAAGTAAGGGAGAAAAATCTAAAGCATGTGAACACCTGAAAATCTAAAGCATGTTAACTTTGCCACAAGACCAAGTTTTCCATCACAATCACCACCATCCTCCCCAGCTGCTTTCCGGAGGGCAGATGAAGGACTCTGTATTTTTGTATTCTGTAGCTATTACAGTTATTATCCTGCCCACTGACGCTCCACCCCAAACACACACACGGCCACTCGACCTCATTACAGACTAACCGCTGCTCTCGTCTCTCCTTCGGAAAGGGGGCGCTGACTTTTTTTTTTTTTTTTTTTTGAATGTGGGTCAACCCCTTACTGCGACGCACATGGACCCCACTTCCAGCGGTCTGCAAGCATTCCTAAGGCGCCAAAGACGAACAGGGAGGGCGGGAGAGAGGGCTGGCCGCCCGTGAAAAGGCAAAATAAATGCGAAGGAAGCAAGAAATGGGACGAAAGGATCTTACTTTCCGTGATCTCCTTGAACGCGTCTTTTGAAACTCCTGGATAGCCTAGGGGCCGCGCGGCGCGGCGCGGCGGCTGCGGCTAAGACCTGTGACTAATGCGGTTTGACCTGAGCCCATGGGTTGTGCGCCCTGCCATTCATTGTAATGTCGTTATCTTCACGTTTATGTCGGAGAAGTCACTCGCGCCCTCTATCCCAGCGCCGGGCTGTTTCTCTTTCAAGGGAAAAGAAGTCAGGGGAGGAAAAGAGAATCGCAGGCCCTATCCGGATCCTAGCCAGTGCCGTGAGCGCGTTTATTGGGCCCGGGAGGCCTCAGCAGAGCGGGCGGGACTCCTGGGGGGCTCCCTGGACCCACAGGAAGGGCTCTCAGAACCGCTTCGGAGGGATTCTTTCCCCCAGGACAGGGGAGAGTGGGAGCGTCCCGACCCAATGCGCTGCGCTTTCTTGCTCGCAAGATCCTCTCCAGAATGGGCCGAGCTGGGAGCGCCTCTGGTGAGCGCTGGCCCAGGAGGGAGGTGAAAGGCGCTGCAAAATAGAGAGCGGCTTGAGATTCCCGGTCCTCCGAAAAGATGCAGTGACTAAGTTAGGGAAGGTTTGGGCCCTGAGGTTCTACTTCGCATAGGGGCTGGAGCTTCCAACAGAGCGGATATTGCAAGTTTGGCAGGACACCCGGCAGCGGCGTTGGGGTGGGGGGTTGGGAGGGGGGAGCACCCGCCGCCTGGCTTCTGTGGTTTTAGGGGGAAAGAGAGAGCCGACCCGCTAGGCAAAGGAGGAGGGCGAGGCTTGGGCTGAAAGAGCTGTCCTACCGCCCCAGTGTCCAGGCAAGCCGCTCTATTAAGACACCGCTAAGGGCTCACCTTTAGAATAGGCCACAAGGAGCTACCGGCCGCCCAGCCCTTTCTAGCATCTCCCCCCACCCCATTCCTTTCACACTCACACCCCCCTTTTCCTTGAAAATCCTTCTATTGTGCCAATCAAGCAGATGGTTTGCAGGAAATATAGCTTGGCCTCGCTGACCGAAACTAATTTTAACTAGCTTTGCAAGCCTGAAACGTTTGTTTTGCTCTTACAAAATAGCCCCCAAAACAGCTGGCAAGGGTGAATTAAACCCATTAAAGACACATTTATAAGAAATTATATTCACATAGATTGCCTGAACCCCCTTGTGCAGCCTACGAGGGGAGATGAGCGCATTTAAATGAAAATGTCGCCGGCAGCTCCCCTCCTTAACGTAGCCTGAAAGTCTCAAAACATTTTACTAAATAGATTAACTTGACTATTGTCTTGCATCACATTTATCAGCTTCATTAAGTGAATAGCTGAACAAATATATTACGCATGCATGAAAAGCTCTTTTTCCAGGAGCCTCATTGTGTCCTCAGCCCTGACAGGTGGTTAACTGTGTGTTGTGTTTTTTTGTGGGTGTTTTGTGTTTTCTTTTTTCTTTCTTTCTTTTTCTTTTTTTTAACTCAAAGAAAGAGGATCTCTGTAGAGCAGGGTGGAGCGCAGTGCTGCCTTGGTCGTAGTTTAGCTAGCTGCTTGGACCCTTCAGCCCAGGGCTCTTCACACTGCGAGTTGTGGGCAAAGGCAACCGAAACCCATTCAAAAGAATAAAAATTAAATTTTGGTGAGCCAATCCTTGAGTGCTTTTTCTCTCCATCACCCCCCTCCACACCCCCTTGTTTGGCAAATTTACTTCTTTTCAAATGCTGTCGTTTCTCTCTCTCTTATATATATATATATATATATATATAAATTGCCTTTGCTCTTTCTTCTCTGAGACTTCAGGGTTAGATATATTTTTAACTCAGATTTGGATCCACTTCACTTTACTTTGGGAAAAGTCCTTGTCTTCTGAGCCTCAGTCTCCCTCTGTGTAAAAGGAGTGATTGTGCTAATGAGTGCTTAAGAGCCTTTCAGTTCTGACCTCCTAAGGTTTAAAAACTCTCAGGTCTCCTGCACCCCTCAGCTAGCCTCAGCTGCTCCCAGCCTCTGACCTGGGCTGGGCCACCCAATGGACATCATTTCTGGGAGTGAGGCGTGTGCCCTGAGTGGAGGGAAGGAGAGTGGAGTGAGCTGGAGGCTTCTAGGCAAATCCACTGGCTTAGGGAGGACGCAGCTTCTGGTCCTCCTGGCTGGAGATCCACTGGGTTTGGAGAGCAGATCCCTGAGGCTTGGTTCCTCACTTCCTGCCCCACATGCCTCCCTGCTTAATGCCTCTCTGATCGAGGCTCCTTTACAGTCCTGGCCCTGCCACAAGGTGTGGCCCAACGGCAGGTGTACAACAGGAATGATGGCACCACTGGTTTGCTCCAAGAGTCCTGGCTGTCGCCATGCCATTCAGCTGCTTTAATTACCAATCAGGGCCCCACGATGAACCCCCTTCCTCCCTAACCCCACTCCCCAGCTTTGTTTCCCTTCCCTTACCCCAAGCTGGAACTATTGATTACGTGTCCGAGGTTCTTGTTGGATAGAGAGGCTTGGATGAAGGTGAAGTTGGCTGATGGGTG